CCACTCTCCCAGATCTCGCTCTCTCACTCGCCTCTCTCACTTTATACAATTGATCTTTTTGTATATGTATACCAAAGCAGATTATACAACTGCTTTCTTTTGTAGATGTATAGCGAAATATACATATTTATGTTTGCTATGGAGCGCAATTATGCAAACTTTGCTATAGCATACAAATATGAATTTTGTGTTTGCTATATGTGAAAGTTGCTCAACTAAAAACCACCTCGAGTCACCCAGCACTCATACCCATTTCAAAAGAGCTTTACTCCCAAAATATCCCTAAAAAGAAGAAGAATAAAGATGAAGAAGTGATGTATCAATTTTCTCATTCTTTAACCATACTTTTTGGGTCCAGTTTGGAGTATCAGTGTGAGCCCATATCAGATCTTAACTCCACGTCCATTTGTTTTAGAAAAAGTCCATAGTTGTTTCAACACGAAGCCCATCAGTATTCCTTTACTAATTGATTGTACACATTGAAATTTTGTAGGACTCTACAAGACGTGTTCAATTTGAGTTGGGATTCTACAAGATGTGTTTAATTTCAATTAAAATTCTTGAAGGCTACTCAACCCTAAACCCATTTCATGCTTATATAAATGTATTATATTCCCTTGAAAATGCATCTCGAATATCTCAAATATTCCACAAACTCATGAAATATTCATAAAGAGATCAAATCCAAATCATCTTAATTCGAGAAATATACCATGAACCGCCCTCGAATTGTGAATATCAAGTCCAAATCATCTTAATTCGAGAAATACGCCACTAACGACCCTCGAATTACGAATATCAAGCCCAAAGCATCATAGTTTGAGAAATACGCCACTAACGGCCCTCAAATTATGAATATCAAGTCCAAATCATCCTAGCTTGAGAAATACGCCACTAACGACATGTAGATCAAGTCCAAATCATCTTAGTTAGAGAAATACGCCACTAACGACCCTCAAATTATGTAGATCAAGTCCAAATCATCCTAGGTCGAGAAATACGGCGCTAACGGTCCTCGAACTATGAATAAATATCTTATGAGAGAAGAATCAAGGAATAACAGAATTGTACCCGCTATCTTGATGAATAAAATTATGTTTCTTCATTTTTTTTATGATTGTAATTTTTTTTCTGTCACTTTAAAATTTGTTGCAAACACCGATATCTTAAAAAGAAGAGGGAAATTTTCTTAAATAGCAATATTTATGCCTCTAATAACAAATAAATGATGATATTATTAACACTCGAACTAAGTTTTGTTTCAAATTAACCTTTAATAAAGTGTTTCAATTAGACACTTTTAATTCAAACTTCAAAACAATTTTGGTGTATGTTTACAGTTGTCTATTAAATAATTAAATTTACTATGTAAAATATGTCATTTTCTTTAATTATATGCATTTATCTTATGAATAATAGATTTTAATTTTTTTTTGTATTTTTACCTTTTCATATTTTTAATCACTTAATGATAATTTAAACCGGCCCAAAAATAGTTTACCACAATTCATGCGACGAAGATTATCCAAAATTGTATAAAGTAATACTATATCCTTCTCATTCCATATATCAACGTAGAAGTTAACAAAGTAATTAAGAGAAATTAAGTGAAAATATTTAGTGACAGCATACATGCATGAGATAAAAATATTTGTGGTGCATTGGTGGAGTGTTTCACCCTTAATCAAAGGTCTCGGGTTCGAGCTCTAGATATGAAGAAAATTTTGTTGAAAGCGTCACCCCCATATGAACCCTGCAGTGCATGATTCAAATTTGATCAAAACTCCAATATAGACTCCAAACACCGAGAAAACAAAAATATGTGAAAGAGGGCCAGGTTCATGGCCCAAATAAGTCAGTGAGTGATGATACCACATCAGATATGTTCCAATTTCCATGACTTGTCACTCTGTATGAGTATGACTAGATCCGACTAATATATACTTGTGTTTGTGTACCTAGTCGTTGTCGATGATCTCCAGATTATTAGCAACATCAACATGTGAAAGTGGCTACAACGTGTAACCTCTCTTCATGACACGTTTCATTGCCTTTGCCTACACACACTCTACATGCTCTTTTCCAAAATTGCCTCTTCAATCCCATCAAACATCACCAACTTAGTACAGGTTCTATTCGTTCAACGATAGTTATCCATTATACTATTTTGGAATTTTTAATAACATTTATCAATTTTATAAAGTTAATGAATAATTTTATCTAATTTATTCTTATTATTAATTATAGTTATTTTTTATTATATTTTTTAAAATATTATATTTATGATATTCAAATGGTGATACAGTAAAACTATTCTTTTATTTATAAGTTCTTAAAAGTGTGTAAAATCAATAGTAGAAGTTAAACTGGTTCCCCCACTATCCTTGCGCGTAAGGCATGCAGAGGTGTAGCAGCCACGCAACTCCTTTTCTTTTGTAGCATTGCCACTTGTTTTCTCGCTCTATATATTTGACTGTTTTTTCTTGTTCAACTCATTTTCTCAATTAATTAATGCATCACTTTTCTCATTTACAACTATCAAAAAATCAACAAAAATGACAAGCCAAGTAGGGGAAAACTTCAGAAAATACTTCGAAAATTGGATGATTCAACTTGAAGAGTTACTGAAACAACTTGTTATTGTACCTAGGGAAACCTCATACGTCAATGATCATGAGTCATTAGTGAGCAAAATGACCACACATCACAAAGACTACTACACAGCCAAATGGGCCGCAGCCCATGAAGACATCTTAGCATTTTTCACACCAATGTGGCTTAGCCCTTTAGAAATTGTCTACTCATGGATCACAGGGTGGAAGCCTTCGATGGCGTTTCGATTAGTCGGTGGAGGAGCGTTTTCGGATGAGCAATTGAAGAATATTGATGGTTTGAGGGTGAAAATTAGGGGAGAGGAAGAGAAAGTGGAGAGGGAAATGGAGAGGCAACAAGTGGCAATTGGGGATAGAAAAATGGTGGAATTAGCAAGGATTAAAAATAGTGATAATAATGATGAGTTGGTAGAGTTAGCGTTGAAAGGGTTAAGGATGAGTTTAGAGAGGGTAATGAAAATGGCAGATTGTGTTAGGCTTAAAACGTTGAAAGGTTTGTTGGAGATATTGAGTCCTATACAGAGTGTTGATTTCTTGGCTGCTATTTCTACCATTCAAATTCAGATGAGGAAAAGGGGAAGAAAAAGAATGAATGTTGCCAAATTTAATTAGTGATCTCCGATCCAGGTTTTGTATTAAGAAAATTTGGCTAGTTTGAGAGTAGAGTATCGATTTCCTTTTATTGGAACGGCTTTTTAATTAGCTTTTGTTAGTGTGTTACACGTAATCTTTTAGGTTTTTTGAGTAGTCCAAATTTGTACTCTCTATGTTCCAATATTGAGTTGAAGTTAAATTACTCTTTTTTCTCATCTTTGATTTTCACTAAGAAATTAAGTTTAAAATGACTTTCATAATCAACGCTTCCAATTTCACCATTTCACCCATCATCTCATTTTCTCATACACTAAAAAATGAAAAAATATAAAATGTTCAAATAATACAACCGCACCTTTCTCTTTTTTCATCATTCCTAGTAATACTACTAAGTATTTTTTTTTTCTCTTCACACACAATAGCCTGACAACATCAGGAGGCATTCAATGATCTCACCATCTATATGTAGGAGAAAGAAAATGACCCACACAACCACATGCATGTGTAGAGATCTCTTGTGCTATTTGGATCATGATTGAGTTTCTCTTGCCACAATTTCCAAGAATCTATGCTGAGAGAGAACAGTGAACACCCCTGTTCAAATCCTCTTTGATCACAAAAGGGGATGCACCATTATATATATATAAAAATATACCACACAAGGCAACTTATGGCGAAGAAGGCAGAGAGAAGTATTAAAAGAATGAACTAATATATTTAGAACAGAAAAATGTGGTACACAGGACTTGCAGTTGACATTAAGTGAAGTATAATTCAGAACATTTATGCATAGCAAAGCAACTCTCTACTTACATACAAAAGTAGACACAATAGTCAGTATATTAGGCTGCCTCAGAGGATAGGATCTCAAGTTCAGCCCACCACAGGGGAGATAGCCTTGGAACTGCAGCATCAGGGGAGATATCAATCGCTTCCCTTAGCTTTTTAATCACTTCTTTTATTGTTGGTCTCTTCCTTGAATCTTCTCCAAGACATTCTCTCATCACCTCACACATAACCATAAGCTCATTATTCTTGAACGACTTCAATTTTGGATCAACCAACTGTCTATCGTTAAGGCATTGCTCCGCCTAAACAAAAGCAGAGAAGAACGTTTCACTAGTCTATATTAAACACCGAAGAAAATAAGGGATTTTCGTATAAAATAGAGTTAGATAGATACCCAGCTCATAAGAGAATCTCGTTCCGTATAAGGTGACTTTCCAGAAATTACTTCCAGCAACAAAATCCCAAAGTTATAGACGTTTGTTTCGGGATCAGAAAGTGGTCGCAGCTCAGAGTTCTCTAGATCACCACTAGAGGACTTTGACTTCACCATTATATCTGACCAGAAAGCAAGCTCTGTAATCTGTGTAAATAAAAAAAGATCCGTTCAATTCAAGACATTACACGAAGTAAAACGTTTCTAAATTCAATGTGGTATACGAAATAAAGCATACCTTAGCAGCATAATCGTCTGTAAAAAATATGGAGTGTGAATTCACATCAGAATGCGACAGAGGAGGATTCAAATTGTGCATGTACTCGAGACAATATGCTGTTCCCATTATAGCTCGTACCCTTGCAGGCCAGTCAAGAGGTTCAAGTTCATCATCTGAAACAACAAAACATGTAGACTGCATTAATCAAAACCAAATCACAAAAATGATTAGCTTGAAGCTTGAAACTTGAACTATTAACTAGTTTACCATGCAGATGCTCGAAAAGTGTTCCATTTGTTGCATACTCGAAGACCATCATCCTAGTGAAAGGCTCATCTTCCTCGCAATATCCAATTAGATTAACAAAATTCTTGTGGTTTATCCTTGAGAGTGAATCGATCTACCCAAGCGCACAATAAGTAGAAATCTTATAAGTAAAAAAACCGAGACGACTAGGATATTTCAACAGAAAGAGTGAGATGGTAATAAGTTATGAAGCAGTTTTTTATTTGTGAAGGAGATGGCAACTACTAACCTTCTTCCTGAAGGCCAATTCAGAACGCTTGGACCAATCTTTCAAAGAATTTATAGCAGTTGACACAACAGCAATCTCTACTCCACTCGATAGAGTTCCCTTGTAGACTGTAAATGCATCTTGATGGCAAACTATGTTGCTAAAATCCTCGCATGCATTTTCAAGCTCCGGCCTGTTTAGTTTTGGGACCCCTGCAAAATTGATTTCATGCATAAGACATGAGAAACAATATAGCACAGGAGTATTAATACATGCTTTTAACATCTTCTTGGAGTATGAAACAAAAACTATTGTAGGCGTTGAAGATTCGGATTATATCCACCAGAGAAAAATGAATCCAACAGTTGAACTAGAACATATGGATTCATCAGCTTTGACACAATATTAAATCAAAAGTACCTGTAATAAATGCTTTCTGCAGCTGTCCACTCAATCCAGTCTTCCAAGGGCCTATTGTTTGCGCAGCTTTGCTCTTGCAGATGATTATCAGGCACACAAAAACAGCAACCAGAAAAGCCCCAATGCCAATTCCTATATACTTCCATGTACTTCCAGACTTTCCACCAGGTGGGGCTTGACTAGCAATTGGCTGTTTAACAGCATCATTAGAGTGTCCCCCAGGATTTGGAGGCGGATGATGATCAGGTGTGGTCCGTGATGGTGTAGTCAGAGGAGGAGGAGGAGCTCCTTCAGTACTTGGCACAGCACGAAATGAACCACTACTTCTGCTGCTTGGAACAGGATCAACAGGTCCCAATGGTTTCCCTCCGTTAGCAGGAGCAGCAGCAAAGTTACTGGATTGCTCAGCTAACTTACGGCGTTCAATGTTTGCTTGATTCTCTACATCGTGGATATTGTGAGGCCTAGTTGAACCTGCAAAAACAAAAGAGAATAAAATACTTTTTTTTTTTTTGTGTACAATTCTTTGAAATCCAATAAAAGATATGTCACAAAATATTCTCACTCACTTGGTAGGTTGTCAGAGCAGAAGTCTGCCTGAGCATCCAAAAAACGCGGGAACCTTTTAGGAAACAAAAAAGTTGCTTCTGAACCATTAAACTTATTTAGAAAGCATAAGGTGGAAAAAACCTATTTAGTTACTTACAGTGTGAAAAAACTAAAATACCATGCTAGCATCCCTTTAATTGGTCTGAGAAAGGAGCCTATAGTCTTATATGGCCACAAACTGCCATGCCAGATGCTGCAAGAAAAAGGCACCAAATTTTCAGAGCGGAGTATGGAACTTAAAAGTGCGTGATTGAGAAATAAAACATTAGCATATTAAGAGGTAGTCTGTAATCTGACATCAGTTACAAGGGTAAAGCTGAAGGTACTTGTCCAAGATGAGTATCTCGATCCAGAATTCAAACAGAGTCAACGGGATGAATAGAATAAATTTATTCATATAGCTGGCTGAAGTTTCATGCTACGAAACAGGAATATGATAATATCCAAGTGTTCTTCTACTCATGGGAAAGAGTAACCACATTTCCAGCAATTTTAGTGGTTAATGTACAGAAAAGTCGACAAAATAAACAAATATTATGCAATAGATCAGTCAAATTTCCACATAAACAGATCTTGATGAATAAGAAGATGAATCACAACTTTAGAAACACTAAACTCTAATCCCCTATGAATATTAGGGTTGGAGACAGGAAAGTATCAAGTGCCCCATGGCATTGCTTTCGACAATCACCATCATAGTTGCTTCACTATTGTAAGGAAAGTATGAGAGATTAGTGGGGACACACTATGCATAGAAAATGTCTCAAAGATCTTCAGTGCAACTCCATGGGATAATTGCTTGCACTTAATTTAATGTTAATACCAAACTTATAGCAGGAGGTAGTTAGTATGAAAGTAGTATATTGGTATATGTTCCTCAAATGATGGATTTTATGCATTTTCAATATAATTGAACATAGAAACAAGTCTGCGACTTTAAAATGCAGCACAGCTGAAACATGAAGATAAAAGGACCAAACAACTACGGAAGTCTTACCAACGCCCAAATTTTCTATTTATGCAACCAGTTCCGGCAGCAACACCAGAGGTGAGGTAATCATCAAATTGCAATTCCGAGAGCAGATGAAGCTTTCTGATCTCCAAAGGGATCTTCCCTTCGAAGTTATTGTCCCTAATCAACCTGGAAAAGAAGTATCAAGCACAATTCAAAAACATTTTGTTAGCAATGTTGTAGCATAAATACATACAAATATATTATAAGACGGAAACACAACAAATTATCAACTTACAAGCTTCTAAGTGATTGCAAATCTCCTATTACTGCTGGAATTCTTCCAGTCAAATTGTTGTTCTTAATGTCAAGCACTTCCAGCATTCTGAGGCGTCCAAATTCTTTAGGAATAGCACCAAAAAGACGGTTTTCAGAAAGCACACTGTGGAAGAAAAGCATTCAAAGAGGAAGAAAGTTTATTAATACATAGTACATAGATGCAGAACAGAAGGTGAAACATTGATTACCAGAAATCTACCCAATTCACTTTATACATTTTTCTTTGGGAAAAAAAAAAGGTAAAGTTTTTCTTTGGTGCAATTTGCATGACCAAATATGCTAAATATCCCAATGTATATGACGCTCTTTATATTTTGAGACATCTCCTAAGTAACAAATGGGAACGAAAAAGGGAAACCTGTACTGACCAGACATGTAAATTTAGTGCAATTTCAAATTGTATAGTGATAAGATAGTGTCTACCAAGATAGGGAAGTATTAGTTCCATGACATAGCACACTAAATATTATTTCTAGACTAAGACCAGAATCATGAAAGCATTTCGTAAGTAGAAAAAACCATCAATGATTGGAACAATCTTTTTTCAGATGATGAGGTCAGGAATATGAGCTAAAGAAACAAATGAGAAGCATATAAGTATAGCTGAAGCTTACAGTGATTTTAAGTGAGTCAGATTTCCAAGTTCTGCTGCGAGTTTTCCTTTCAACGAATATCCATGAAGGTCCCTAAATAGAGAACAGACAAATGAGTTAACAATATCCGAAGAACCACAAACAGAAAAACTCACAACTCAGTGTTTGCACTTTGTCTGTCATTATCATTTCAACAGGCTTGTCGATAGCAAAGCAACACATATAAATTTATAAGAAAAGGATTCACACTAGGAAATTTTTGGGTATATTTAACAAGAGACTTACAACATTTGCACTCTCCCGTCCATACACTGGACACCAGACCACAAGCACGGGTCACAATGATCTGAATTCCAGTTTTCAAGAATGCCATACGGATCAGAATCCACTTTCACGCGGAATCTCAATAGTGCCAATCCTGTTTCTCACACCAACAATAATTAGCAAACAAGAAAACATACCAAACACTTAAAACTAGCCTAAGACAGAACTACAAAACCAATAGAACTGTACTCAAGTATAAGAATTACCTTCCGAATTAAGAGAACAACAACCGCGAATATCCAAAATGATAATCAAAAGAGCGAGATACGACAATTTGATTCCATAAGTGTTCCATCTACCACCCATAGCTTGCACAACCATATGGATCAGTTGTTGAGGCAGTAACAATATCTGTCAACAGCGAGGACTCTATACAAAATCGCCAGCTTTCTTGTACAAAATTACTCTCCAAACAATTGAATTCACTCGTAAATATAAACAAGTTGAAAAAAAGGAGAGCAAATACACCACTGTTTGCTTATCATTCAATTTTTACAATGTAAAACTATATTACAAGTTAAAAGAAAAACTATTAACCCTATTGATACAATGGACAAAATTGGGGTCTCTCATTTTTCCCAGTTTCTAAAATTTAGACTATAACAACATCTCCCTCACCAAACACTTCCACAAACTCGATTGATTAATCTCCAAGATTCAATTTTTATCTGGAAAATGAATAAACACAAAAGAAAAAAATTAGTAAAAATATGTTTCTTGAAAAGGGGTTGGTGAAAAACCTAAGAACACTTCACAAGCCCCATCAAAAAAAGAGAGAAACAGAAAAAGAAAAAGAAAAGATGATGAGGGAATAACTGAATTTGCAAGCAATCAAAAGAAAAATAAAAATCCAAAAACCCAAAAGATGGTAAAATGTAAAGAGTAAAACTTACCAGACAAGAATGAAATCTTTTTCTGCTTTTTATTGCAGAACTGGAAATGACAATTCGTCACATTTCTTGAAAAAAAGCCAAAAATCAAATAACTGCAATAGGAAAATGCAGGTGGTGGGACAAAATTTATTTTTTTCTTTTTTGAAAAAAATTAAAGAAATAACAGAGATTGAAGAAGAAAATTGAAATCACACAAGAAAAAATCAATCTTTTTTTTTGTGAAAAATAGTGTAATATCTTTTCTTTTTTTTCTTGACTGCAGTTTGCAGGGTGATTTCAAAACAGGGGCTTCTTTTCAACTATTTTTTTTCTCAGAAATATGGTTGAGGAGGAACAAGAGGGAAAATATGGGGAAATGGTGGGAAAAAAAAAGTTTTTTCCTCTCTCTTGTTTCTCTCTCTACAAGATTTTTTCTCTTTTTTTTTTTTTTTTGGTTTTGTCTCCCCTGACACAAAGCTACCATCCCGGCAAGCAAAGTCTCCTGTTCTTCTCTTCCATTTTTTTAATTATTTTTTAAAATTTTATTTTCCGTCATTTTCATTTATTTTTTTAATATATTAAAATATGTTTTTGTAAAATTATGATAAAGACGGGCCCAGTATCCAGGTGGATTAACCGTAAACTGCCGGCCGGGTGGGCCCCTACATACGAAGACTTACGGCCGTTGACTGGGTCCCACAAATAATACGTGCCATCCTGTTATCCTCAGCTTCCTAAATTCTGGAATTATCTTATTCGAAGGTGAGATAAAATAATATCTACCTGAATGGAGGATAAGGTAAAATATTTAGGATTACGATTGAAATTAAATTTATGCGTTATTTGGTTGAAGCTATATTTCACATACCAAACGAAGTATTTGGTACGCGAGAGTCGTTTGATGGTTATCCCAAAATTAATTTTGAATTAAAATATATTTTATTTGATTGAAGATATAAATTTAATATTTAATATGTGGGATGAGATGAAATATCTGAAGATTAAATTTTGAGATTTAGTCTATACTATAAATTTATCTTTAAGATAAAATTATACGTTTCGTTCATGTACCAAACGACTCTTAATTGTATAAACTGATAAAATGTTAAATTTGACTAAGGATATATTATATTAGAAATAAGTAATCCCTCCTAAGTCATAACTCATGCGGGTATTTGTTTGACGGCGTAAAATGAAATATAATTTATATTATCAGTTTACATCTTAATGTCAATGATATTATATACATATATTATATGGAAACCTATATTATCAAAGGTAGTCATATTACTAGACATGAAAATCCGTGTTAGCATGGATATTGTTGTTTTCTTAGATTCAATTTATGTGATACGGTGGAAATTAGAGAATTATTCAAAATTTATATTATTTTTAAATAATTAATTATTATAATTTATAATACTTTTTACATCATTTTAAATAATATATGTTACTCTATTATGCCAACTTTTAAAAGGTAAGGACTCAGATTCATATTTCCTTCTTTTCCATATGGACAATAAATTTCCTTTAAGAAAATAATAATTAAAATTTAAAATTCACAACAATATTCATAGTAATTGATTTCAAATAAGATGAGTGTTACAATCTTTATTAATCCTCTTTCTTCCTATTTTTATATACTCAAGACTTTTGAGCTTGAATTTAACTTTACTTAAATTTAAGGGCTTGAAACTTGATCTTAAATTTAATGGGTTTGATCTTGACTTGTTACTTGAATTTAATGGTATGAAGTTTGATCTTAAATTCAGTGGTCTTGAACTCTGAAACTTGTAGAGAAATATTTGAGTGCTTGAATACTTGTAGTTTTTAGAGAAATCTACGAAGTTTGATCAACGAGCTCTCTTTGTATTCTTATTAGAATTTTGATCCTTTTTTTCTAAATTATAATTGTAGAATGAAAGAGTTGTGATGAGGACAAACTCTTTTCGACCAATAAGATTGAAGTTGACATGGCAATATTTGATTGGTCAGAGACGTGACATATTTTCGTTGGCCTTTAATCTGACTATGCATGTTATGTCATTTTGACATATGGCATGATCCTATTGACTCTTTTATATGATTATCATGTCATGTTATTTGACACGTAACATCAGTCTAAACATCTAAAATAAGATGGCATCTCGAGCTTAACAAATTGGGCTCATCATTAGAAGCCCAAGTCAATGGATTAGCCTAAAAAAATTAAACTTCAATTATATTCGCATTTATTAAACTTACTAGATAATGTTGCCTGTGCTATGCACGGGCCCAATAATATAAATGATATGTTTTGAGGCTAATAATCGAGTTTTTGAAGCGATTGTTTGCGTGGATAAAGGAATAAGTTTTTTTATCACAAACCTGTACTTTCTTTGACGCTATTTAAGGCATAATAAGACTACTCACATAAAACATTTTTGAAATATTTTATGTTGTCAATTATCATGATTTATAGTATTTTTACGCAATTTTTAAATATAAAAAA